TGACAGTGATTTAGTATATGTTTCTGTTTGCTACATTAACCACAGTGTTGCTTCTTTCAGAAATATTTTCTTGCCAACAGAACTTAGAGGGCACACACATGTCTGTGCCTCTCCTGCACAGGCTGATTTTATGTCATTAGGGTCTTGCATATGTAGATCAGGAAAAAAACTGTTTCTGAGATCCTTGTAAAATAAGAGGTCCCTTAGTACACATATTTTCAAACTGTGAATGAGGTTATAGACATCAGTGAAATGGAATTGAATTTGCTGGAATTTGGTATGCTCACAGCCTGTACCTTAATAGAGTAGCTTTTTAATCCAGGTTCATACAGTCTCTCTAGACTTATCTTTTTCCAGGACTGAGTACATCCTTTTTTTCTCCTGTCCCTCACCCCCCAGTACAATTACCCTATATAGATTCTTGTAACGGATCTGTTAATGTTATTGTCTAATATGTTATTGTGTAACACTCTGCAAATATTACTGTCTAATATCTATCCCATGGCGCAGTGCTAAATAGTTTTTGTAACTGCGGTTTTGAGTGGAACCAGTAGAATGCTTTTGTAATTATGTGTCAGGGTTTCTTGTACTTTTCCCAGGAAGCCAGAACTGAATCATTTTAAGACTTACAGTCTGTCATCTTTAGTCCAGTAGCATATGCTCTTGTGGCCTATGTGTTGCAAGGTATGAAAAGGCTATAATCAAAACACTCCCTTAGTGCTTGCTACAGCCCAGGAATGTTTACTAAAATTGCCCTGAAGCCAAAGGAGTTTAAAAAACATCCTCCCTTCTTTCCCATTAGGGCTTGCCCTAAGTTGTCCATTCACTGTCAGAGCTTGCTGCACACAAAGAGGCAGAGCACCCATCACGTGTTATGAAATATATTTCCCATTCATGTATTTGTCCAGCCCTTTAGACTTTAAATTCCTCAAGGCCAGGGATAAAGTTTTACTCATCCCATTAGCTCAGCACTTCTTTCTATGTCTGATTATTGACCTGAACAGAGGAAACCAAACAAAACCAAAACACTGGACAGAACAGATTGGAATTAGAAAGAGCAGCCTCGCTTGGAGTAAATAATAAAGTGCAATGATTTTTGGGGGACATACAGAAGACACATGAGTTTTCTCTACTGCTTTGGGCTTTCTCTAAAAAAAGGGAACTATGTCATAGGATTGTTGTGAGGGATGAAATGAAAAGTTTCAGATGTAGGACTTAGCACTGTGTCCCTAGCTCATTGTAATTAGTAAGTATTCTTTTTTTAACCATATTTCATTATATTCAATTAAAAGATATTTTTGTGCCACTAAGAAAATAATTGCCCATTAAACTCTTAGACAAGATTTCTTATCACCAGAATTATTTTCTATTTATCGAAAAACTTTTATTTAGATGAAATTTTAAAATCACATTTTATTCCCAGGCTATATATAAAAAAGATGAATATAAATAAATTATTTAAGGTATTTATAAAACTTTATGTTCAGAGTCTAATTCTTCAGAATTATTTTTTTGTCTCAGAGGCATTGATTTCTGTGCTTTTTCTTATAATATTGTCTGTTATTCCCAGTGCTGGAAATGAGAAATGTCACACTTCTAAAATGTGCCCCTCTGCTAAATCCAGATTTTCTTTCAAACCACTGACACCCACTCTCCTTGTGCTTGTTCCTTCTTTCCAGAAAGTGTCAACAGAGTATTTTCAGACAACAACCAAATTTGTATTCTTTTCTGAATCCCTGCTCTGTACATCCTAACCTGGTTTTCCATGGTCATCCACACATTAGGTCATGATAACTCCGTTTTCCAGTTATTTCTCAGGACAAAATCCCTAGAGTCATTTCCAGCTCCCCTCTGTCTGTTACACCCCATGCGTCCACCAAGATTCTGAATCCCCAATCTGGCTCCCATCTGCCCTCCTCTGCTGCAGCTTCTCTTGCCTAAGGCATCTTCAAATCTCACCTATAATTACCTCCTAACAGGTTTTTTTGCTTCTGTCTTGGCCTCCCTACAGTTCTATTTTCAACATAGTGGCCCCAGTGAATCTTGCAGAAGTAAGTCAGATCATCTCTCCTCTACTCAAAACCCAGCATAGCTTTCCTCAGAGTAAAAGGCAAAGTCTTTGTATTGGCCCCTAAACCCTACATAATCGATGGATGCTCTCTGCTTCACCCATTTCTTCCCCTCCTCCTTCCTTCTGGAGCATTTTGCTCCCCGCTCACTGGCCTCCAGCCTGTTTCTCAGTCTCACCAGGCTTGGCCTGAGGGTCTAGATCTTTCCTCTGCCAAGAAGCCTCCTTCTTCGGGATATACACAGTTAATTTTCTCACCTCCTTCAAGTCTTTGCTCAAATCTGAAACCTACCTTGGCCGTCCTAATTAATATGGCCACCTGAACCTCCCTCTATACCTCAGTCCACTCAATCCCCCTTAATTCACTCCACATTATTTCCCATAGCACTTATCAGTATAACATACTGTAAAATGTACTTATTTATTATAGTTTATTTTATGTTTTTCCTCACAAGGGCAGGCATCTTTATTTTTTAGAAATCCTCACCTGAGGATATATTGATATTGATTGTTTAGAAGGGGTGGGGAAAGGGAAACAGATTGGTTGCCTTCTATACATGCCCCAACTGGGATCGGACCCACAACCTAGGTATGTGCCCTGACTGGGAATCAAACCCGTGACCTTCTGATGGTATGGGACGGCATTCCAACGGGCTGAGCCACGGGCCAGGGCAGGCAGACGTCTTTGGTTTGCTCACTGACGATTCCCAGGTGCCTGGAGCAGTGCCTCATCATCTCCATTCAGCACTTGTTGAACTGCACTCATCTGTGAAGATCCTATGACACGTCAGCACAAGGTGCACTGGATACATGGAAATGGTCCACCCTGATCCCATCAAGACTCTGGGAAGCAGCTAAATGCCTCAGCTGAACCTTTTTTTAAAACAGTGTAAAATTCTTATATTTAGAATTAGCCAGCTAGACTCAGTTTAGATGATCCCAATTTTGTTGGCAACATCCAAAGCATCATAGTCAGGGGCCAGTTGAACACATGCCTTCTTCTCTCCGTCAGGCTGGATCAGGGTGTTGACCTTGGCTGTCAGTGTCACAGAGCTTCTTCACAGCCTGTTTGATGTGGTGCCTGTTGGCCTGGACATCCACAGTAAACACAAGTGTACTGTTGTCTTCTATCTTCCTCATGGCTGACTCGTAGTCAGGGGGATCTTGGTGATGGCACAGTGGTCAAGCTCGTCTCGTCTGGGGGTGCTCTTCTGAGGACATTTAGGCTGCCTTCGGAGCCACAGTGTCTTGGCTATTGGAAGGTGGGTGATGTGTGGATCTTCTTTGTGTGTGGCTGTGGACACCTTTCAGCACTGATTTCTTTGCCTTCAAAGCCTTTGCTTTGGCTTCAGCTTTGGGAGGAGCAGGGGCTTCCGTCATCGCTTTTGGCACTGTCTTTGTAAAAAAAAAACTCAGCTGAACTTCTAAGGATAGTGAGACAGCTGAAGGAACCATAGAAAACAATGGATTCACCCTGTCTGGTTTGGCTCAGTGTTTAGAGCATTAGCCCACAGACCAGAGAGTCCTGAGTTCGGTTCCCGTTAAGGGCACGTACCTCGATTGCAGTTTGTCCCCGGCCCCACTTGAGGTCATGTGGGTGGCAGCCACTTGATATGTCTCCCTCACATCGATGTTTCTCTCTCTTTCTCCCTCCCTTTCTCCCTCCTGCTCTATCTGAAGATAAATGCAAAAAAGAAAGAAAAGAAAACAATGGAATTATAGATGCTAAGTACTCCTTTGGGTATTGTTTCAGGTAGATAGACATTTTTGTTTTAGATTGGACTCCACCTGATTGCAGTTCAGAGTATGGAAGTCAAACCCCTAGGGAATACACTTTGCAAGAAATTTTTCAACAAGGCTGATTTATGTCTGGGTGTACCACATTGTCAATGAGCACTATAACATTCCACAATCAGATTGCATGGGCCAGAAATTTTAGCTGGACCAGCCAAGGTGCCAAATCTTTGTTTTGGTCAACAAGAATAGTCAGTCATGAAAATGTTAAGGTTCTGCTAGCCAAAATAGTATTTACGGAAGTTTACAGTGAGTATCTTTGGAAAGGAATGCAATGACATAGAGATTTTTCTCTTTTGAGGTGTTCTTTCAGCTTGGACCAGGGATTACCCTCAGAGACAGAGCCTTAGCTATTTTGGTACCTGGGATAAGACACAAATCCACTCTCGAATCAGCTTTGTCACTTATGATGTATGATTTATGTGTTCTTAACAACTTGTGCCATCTGGTGGCTTCATATTTAAATAATTATTCTTGATAATTAGATGTCAAGCTTAGCTGTAGGAGGAATGTATGTGCTGTCAATAAATAAATATAACACATTTTAGAATTGTGTACTCTAAAATGTTTGCTTATACCCTTTGAATTTCAGGCAAACACACAGCCCTTTTTGCCTTCCCAATTTAAAATCTTTTCATAGAATCCCCTAAGCTCAGTCTCTGGCTGGCACAGTAATCAATGCACATTATTTGAATGACTGAATCAAGCAAATTTTGTTCCAGAAAAAAACAAATGAACTCTAGATCTCAGGACTTGCGGAAATCAAACTTAATGTATGTATTATTTTGTGTCTGTAAAAAAGGGCTCATCATCTTACCTATCTTAGTCTTTGTGAGAATTAATATATGTAATAGGAGTTAATATATATAAGTCTTTGGCTTATTTCTTTTATTAATAGACTTTATTTTTCAGAGGTGTATTAGATTTACAGGAAGAGTGACAGGTGATACAAAGAATATATACTTATATCCTCTCTCTTTAACTCTACCCCAGGCCCAGTTTCCCATTGTTAACATCTTACATTAATGTGGTACATTTCTTACAAGTAATCAACCAATATTGATTTATGATTGTTAACTCAAGTCTGTAGTTTATTCAGATTTCCTTAGCTTTAACCTAATGTCCTTTTCTGTTCTAGGATACCATCCAAGATACTATGTTATATTTAGTATCTTGTCTTCTTAGGCTCCCTTGGCTGTGGCAGTTTTTCAGACTTCCGTGTTTATGATGACCTTGACCGTTCTGAGGAATACTGGTCAGGTATATGGTAAGATGCCTTTTTATTGGAATCTGTGCTTGGCACATGTTGACATTTAAAACTATTGGTTATTATTATTATTGCTTCATATTCAGATTAAAATGTGGAACTGAGGTAGAATTTAGGGAAGGAATAGTTTTGTTGCATGTTCAGTATTTAAAAGAAAGATTTATTTTGAGGCTTAGTCAAGTTATCAATGCTGAAAGACTGTTTGGACAAAATTTGGTTTGTGCACATTTCTCCTTCCATCTGTTCATTGATTCAGTAAATATTGACCAAGTTTCTATTGTGAAGGCAGAAGTATTTTGGATGTTGTGAATTGAATGATAAAACAAAGCCACCCTGATGGAGCTTCCAGTCGAACAGGGAGTTAGTTAAATAAGTAACTACAGAAATAATCCAAAAGGTATCTTGTGACGAGCAAAGAAAATAAAATATTCTTATATTTAAAAATACCTCAGGTGAGAGGAAGGGGAACTTCCCCTTATTAGAATGGTGTATAAGTTAGGATCAGATTTAACAGTGAGGGGCAGAACTTTAAAAAACAGGGGCTCAAACAAGATAGAAATTTGTCTCTCGTGTTCAAGAAGTTAGGGATTCTGTCCAGAACTAATGTCCATATTGTCAGAGTCCCAGGCTTCTTCCATCTTCTTGCTCTGCTATGCATACATTTATTTCTCAGAATCATCTCATGGTATAAGACAGTTTCTGGAGCTCCAGCCATCACAACTGAATCTCAGTGAGAGGGACGGGGAAGGCAACTATTTTCCCATTTCTGCTTACTTCTTCCTGACCAGAACTTAGTCTTTATCCAGATGGCCAGGTATACCAGTTAAACATCAAAAGTTTGATTGCTATAGAACAGTGGTTCCCAAACTTCAGCATGCACCAGAATTATTTGCAAGACTTGTTGAAATACAGATTGCTGGGCTCCACCCCCAGAGTTCCTCACTCAATAGGAGGCCAAGAATTTGCATTTTAAACACATTCCCATGTTGCTTTGATAATGCTTGTCCAGGACCACACTTTGAGAACAACTTCCATAGAAGAAGGGGAGCATGGATATTGGGGGAGCAGTCTGATTCAGAGCATAATTTAGACTTTCATCATTTACATTTTTGTATTGAGACAACGTTATGTTTCTGAGGTCAAGTGTCACATCTGGGTAGTTGTACACAATTTTATAATTTTTGTATGAGATCAGTGTTTTGGTTATCTGCTGTGGTGTAGCAAATAACCCCCAAACAAAGCAGCTTAAAGCAATAATTTGCTTATGTCTCCATAGATCTGCAGTCTGAGCAGGACTCAGTAGGGAGGGCTTACTTGTGCTCTACATGTGTTGCCTGGTCGTGACTAGGGCTGGAGGATGCAGGATGGCCTACATGTCTGGGGTTGGCTGTCAGCTGGGGCACCTCACTGCTCTGCTACCTGGACTTCCTTACATGAAATCTTGGGGCCCCACGAGAGCTAAATGGAAGTTCTGAGGCTTCTTGAGACCTAATCCTAGAAATCATACTGAGCCCCTTCTGCCAGAGTCTGTAGGTCCAAGTGAGTCACAAAGCCAGCCCAGATTCCAGGGGAGAGGAAGTAGGTTCCACGTATTGGTGGGAGGAGTGGCAGTCCCGCGGAAAAAGAGCACGCAGTACAATGTGTTGTCTCTGGCAATAGTCTAATTGTCGTCAGAAATAAGAATATCAATGTTAAAGAATAAATTCCTTATCATTGTAAATATGGACATAGATCTGTCATTCAGTGGATTTTATCCCTATTAGGACCAGAGTGTGATTTGGGTAAAACATTTCCAAAACGGTTTGGCGCACAAGTAGAAAAGAAGCATGGCAAGATCAAACCAGGTTTTAGAAAGGTTTGTGGTTACTGAAAAAACTTTCTCACACCTTTATTGATATAAAAGTTCAAACATGAGGAGGAGAACACAAGTTCAAAATAAGTTCATAAATATTTTTTCTGTCGGCTATTTTGATTGAAAGTTGTGATCTTAACTTTTGAAAGTCAGCATTTAAAAAATAATGTTCTCACATCAATGCAATGTGATTATTGCTCTAAAAGAGGTCAAGTTTACAGCTATCTTTAAAAAATTTTTTTTCTTTATTGATTTTTAAAAAGTTATTTTTATTAATTTATTTTTGTTACAGATGTTTCTCCTTTTCCCCCATTGACACCCCCCCCCCCCCCCCCCCGTCCTCAGCTTTGTTGTCTATATAAGTTCTGTGGTTTATCTTCCCCCACCACCACCCCCTCTTCTGAGGTTTGTCAGTCTGTACCTTACTTCTATGTCTCTGGCTCTATTTTGTTCATCAGTTTGTTTAGTTCATTGTATTCTACAAATAAGTGAGATCATATGATATTTGTCTTTCTCTACTTGGCTTGTTTCACTTAGCATAATACTCTCCAGGTCCCTCCATGTTGTCTCAAAGGATAAGAGATCTTTCTTTCCTACAGCTGCATAGTACTCCATTGTGTATATGTACCACAGCTTTTTTTTTTTTTTTATGAATTTTTATTTATTTTTTTGTTACAGATATTTTACCTTTTTACCCCATTGGCACCCCCCACCCCACCCCACCTCTACCCCATCCCCGGCTTAGTTGTCCATGTCCATTGGTCATGCATACATGCATATAAGTTCACCACAGCTTTTTTATCCACTCATCTACTGATGGGCACTTGGGCTGTTTCCAGATCTTAGCAATTGTAAATAGTGCTGCTATGAACATAGGGGTACATCTATTCCTTCTTCTGATTGGTGTTTCAGGCTTCTTAGGGTATATTCCTAGAAGTGGGATAACTGGGTCAGATGGCAATTCAATTTTTAATTTTTTGAGGTAACACCATATTGTTTTCCATAGTGGCTGTACCAGTCTACATTTCCACCAGCAGTGTACTAGAGTTCCCCCCTTTTCTCCACACTCTCGCCAGCACTTGTTTGATGATTTGTTGGTGGGCGGCCATTCTGATAGGTGTGAGGTGATACCTCATTGTTGTTTTAATTTGCATCTCTCTGATGATTAGTGACGTTGAATGTTTTTTCATATGTCTCTTGGCCATTTGTATGTCCTGTTTTGAGAGGTGTCTTTTTAGGTCCTCTGCCCATTTTTTAATTGGGTTCTTTGTCTTCCTTTTGTTGAGTTGTATGAGTACTCTATACAATTAACCCTTTATCTGATGTATCGTTGGCAATGATGTTCTCCCATATAGTGGGTTCCCTTTCCATTTTGATGGTTGTTTCTTTTGCTGTGCAGAAACTTTTTAGTTTGATGTAGTCCCATGTGTTCATTTTTTTCCTTTGTTTCTCTTGCCTTAGGTGTTGTATCAGTAAAAATTCTGCTGTGTATGATGTCTGAAATTTTGTTGCCTACATTTTTAAAAATGGTAATTGTGTTATCTTTTATTTTATTTATTGATTTTAGAAAGAGAGGGAGGGAGAGGGAGAGAGAAACAGAAACTTCGATGAGAGAGAACATCGATTGGCCGTCTCCTGCATGCCCCCCACTGGTGATTGGGCCCACAACCTGGGCATGTGCCCTGACTGGGAATCAAACCGGTGACCTCTTGGTGCATGGATTGATGCTCAACAACCATTGATCCACACTGCCTGGGCTGTTGCCTACATTTTCTTCTAGGGTTCTTTATTGATTTTTAGAAAGAGAGGAAGGGACAGGGAGAGTTAGAAACATCGATGAGCGAGAACATTGATTGGTTGCTTCCTGCATGCCCCTCACTGGGTATCGGGCCCACATCCTGGGCATGTGCCCTGACTGGGAATCGAACTGGCGGCCTCTTGGTGCATGGGTCGACGCTCAACCACTGAGTCATACTGGCCGGACTATAGGATATCTTTATAAGTGGTATCATTTAGGGTGTAAGAGACTCACCTCTTACCCCCAAGGAAATTTTTACGAGTGCTTGAAGTTTTACTAGGAGCGATTCACTGTTTTAAGCATTGCTCATTTCCACTGGGTTCTTACGTAGCTGATACTTCTGGAAAGGGAAGGGTAAGAAGTCATTTGCACTGTACTATGAATAATTTAGAGGAACACTCTTCTCTCAGAGAATGCTGAGTCCTAGATGACTATGGACAAAGCGGGCACTGAAGGCAGGAGCCAGGTGAGATGGGGTGGGGGGATGAGGAGTGGTGAGGAAAGGTGCTGAGCCCACACTGACCGCCGCTCAGGAGGCATGCGTTACGCTTACGTGATGTTAAAACAACACATTCCATAACGGCCTTTTGTTTTGAAGAGAACATTCTGTTCCTATCATGTGATACTCATGCTCTCTTTGTGTTTTTTTCCCCCCTAAACATTTCTCCACAAAGAGTATTTCTTTACTCTTAAAATAGCTCCAACCGCCTGCTTTGAGGTCCTTCTCTTATAATAACTTCTAACTTCTGTGATTTTTCCTTTGCAATAAAGTATCTGTTCCAGCCCTTCCTTCTGACCCCATTTTCCAAGGTCTAAAAGACAGCCCGGGCATTCTGCTGGACCTCTGAAGGTGCCGCCTGCCTGGGAAAGTGCCCACTTGGGGGAGGGCGCTGTTTGTTCCCCAGGTGTGAATCGGCTGCCGAGGGGCTGCCCACAGCCTGTGTCGTTTTCCTCTTTGGAATAGCAAGCTTATTTACTTCTTTGACTGGCTTAAGGCTACTCCGTCTCACCTTTGAGTGTATGCCTTTCCCCAGTGAGAACTAAATCCAACTCACACATTCCGGGAAGCTGCTTTTGTCTGAGGAGCTAATAGAGTGCAAGACTGTGATTTTATTATTCTCACAGGCAGCAAGATCCTGTTCTGTGGTTCAGATGAAAAGCTCTGTGATTAACAGGATTCTTTCTTTCTTTCTTTCTTTCTTTCTTTCTTTCTTTCTTTCTTTCTTTCTTTCTTTCTTTCTTTCTTTCTTTCTTTCTTTCGGGGGGGGGGGGCGGGGAGTGGATGTTACATTTGTCCCATTAGCTGCCTGGTCGTTTCATGACACTTCTGGCCAAAGTGATGAATCACGT